CAACATTTCAAAGGCATTTGAATGGGTATATGAGTAGAAAGGGTTTATGGGGATATGGGTCAAATCCTGACAAATCGGACTAGGTCAGATTGGGGAATCTAGTCTGCACAGATGAGTTGGACCAAAGGGTCTGATTCCGTGCTGTATGACTCTATGACTCACTAAATGATGAGAGTAAGTTATAAAAACAGTTGATGGAGCTGAGTAAAGTATTTGCACTTTTGAAACCAAAACAGTTGACAAGCCAGTATCTTATAGCTTGACCCTAATGTTAGCTATAAAAAACAAACAAAAAATGTTTGTGTAAAGAATCAGCCTTATTGGATACAGTTACAACCGCAGTGTGTCCATGAAATGTCCAAAGCAGGCTGGGCCAGTCAGTTCAATCCCCCAATGAACCCAGCTAAAGCTTGCAGTTAACACTGTTGCTAATGGTGACTAAAGAACTGCTACTCTGCCGAATAAAACATTTATGAAACAGACCTTGCTCTTTCTACAATTAATTCTGTTTTTGAATTACTTGTTGCATGCATTATTCTACCAATAGAATTGACCTTGTCATTCATTAATGCCAAATTCAATATCTCAGGGAGATGCATTTAAATTAAAACAGATTAATATTATGTCAAATACTCCATGCATTGTTCAGGATTTCTGTTTTTGGCAGCAGCATCCATTTTGTTTGCTGTACATTGGCTGCCTGTCTTGAAATTCAAGACCATTAGAACAGGCTCAAGTATATTGAAAGTGCTGCACAGTCTTTTACAGCCAGCATTAATTCAGCTACTCACTGACTATATCCCGCTAACCATCAGAAGCCGAAGCAAACGTTGTAAACTTAAATCAGAGACGAGCTTCACACCACATTTTTGTCAACTTGCACCTCCACATCACCACTGCCTCAGCTCATTTGCTGCTCAAATTCTCATCTGTGTCTTTGTTACCTCTGAATTTGACTATTGTAGCAAGCACTGAATAGCTTATGTGAATTGGAAAACATCCAGAACTCGGCTGCCCATTTCCTAACTCACACCAAGCCTGGTGCAGAGTCATATTGGATTTGAAATGTTAACTCTATTTCTATCTCCACAGATGCTGCCAGACCCACTGAGTTTCTCTCACATTTTCCATGTTTGTTTCAGTTGTCCAGCATCTGCAGTATTTTTAGTTTTATTAAGCAAAGCTTTAAACATAAAATCCTCGTCTTTATTATCAAATGTCTTCATTGCCCCGCCCTGCCCTACCTCTGTAATTTTCTGCAACCCTATTATTCTCTCAGATATCTGGACACCCCTAATTCTGGCTTCTTGAGCATCCCTAATTTTAACATCACCTCATGTAATCGAGTGTTAAAATTTGTTTGTTAAAGCTCCTATAAAGCACTTTGGGAGGTTTTAATACATTTAGGGGATATCTAGCCACAAGTTTTTGTTACACTCTTCAATTATAGTATCATGAATTTGCTTCAAGGTCAGTATTAAAGTATTGTTGTGGAGCAGATGCATAAATACTGCGCTGAATTTAATGCTACTCTGTTAATGGATTTGAAAGCAAAGTGGGGAACACATTAACTTCAGCAGCTGGCTTATCCACTGCTTTCGCTTTGACCCTGCAATGGTGCAGCAGCTTGCTCATGTCATTCATGCCCACTTAAGGAACTCATTCTGCTTTTGCAAAGATTTAACTGACAGTAGGAGAGCCCTGTGCCAAGCAGTTTCCCTTCGTGGGCTAGTGAAGGACATGGGATAGCCCAACTTAACAGGCCAATTCTGTTCATTGGAGGGCCCTCCCTCCTCCATGATTTTACTCATTCTCCCCAGCTTACTCCCCTCAGTGGCCTCTCAAACCCCAGCCACTCATTTTCCATGCTGATGCGTGGAACCAACAAGAGCCCTAATTCTATGTAAATATTCCAGGCAATGAAGAGGCCATCAGCTCCCTGATATGGCAATACCTCCTTCATCTGGATGGAAATCTCACTCCTAGACAGTGCAATGACATGGCTGTGTGGCAGCCAATGTTCCCCTGTTATGACCCTGTTATAAGGAGGGGTGAATTGGCCTCATTCTGCTCTTCACTGGTTGGTCTCAGAAATGATTTAAGCTCATTTCAAGATGTATAAGCACCTCCCCCAATTAAAATGCAGTTCACTGTTTTCCTCAGAAACAATAAGCAGCCAAATATAAAGTCATCTTTAGTTAAAAAAAAGACAAATTTATTATCCACTAACTCTGAGATAAAGAATGAGGATGCAACGTTAAGTTATCAGACCCTGAAATCAGGATCTGATTCCTGATAATGCAGGACCATTGTATGAAGGGAGATGGGATTGGTTAGGACTATATTCCCTGGAATTCAGAAGAATAAGGAGGTATCTCATAGAAACCTATTAAATTCCAAGAAGAATAGACAGGAAAAATGCAGGAATGATGTTCTGATGACCAGGGAACTGGGGTCAGAGCCTATGGCCATTTAAGACTGAGATGAGGAAAAACTTCTTCACTCGGAGAATGCTGAGCCTGTGAAATTCTCTGACACAGAAAGCAGTTGAGGCCAAAACATTGCACATTTTCAAGAAAGAGACAGATATAGCTATAGAATC